CCAAAAAAAGAAAAAAAATTTCCCCAAAAAAAAAATGTTTATCACCCATTAAAACTTTTTTCCCCAAACCTACAAAAATAAACGGGTTTTTTGCAAGAGGTGCCAAAATAAAAAACAGTTTAAAAGGGAATAACGTAAAAAAGGATCCCCAAAAACTTATCCCCCCAAAAACTGAAAAGTCCCCCAAACCCCCCCCCCTTTAAAGTGAAGGCTTTTTTACCCCCCAAATTCCAGGGACTAAAAGTCCGACTATATGAAAAAAACCCGGGTTTTTCCCTAAATCCCTTCATTTAAATTTTTTACCCTGCTCAAAAACTCCAACAGATCATCGGGTTTCCCCCAAAGAACCTTTCCCTTCTCCTTTAAATCCTATCTAACTTGCCACGCACGCTTGGGGGGAAAAGTCCAAGCCCCTTCCCCACAAAACCTCCTTTACCCCCCTCTCCCCAAACCCTTTCAGGATGCCCCCTACCTGGGCCTTTTTCCCTTCCCCCTTATAAAATTTATGTGTTTTTCCAGTCATTCTATTTTAAAATCCATTCCCCTCAAATGCCCAAAACCCCCTCAAAAACCCCCTTTCGCCCCTACTAATACTTTTTTTTAACTCCACACCTTTTCCAAAACCCTTTAAAAAACAGCCCCAAACGTTTTATTTACGTTCATGCGCTAGTCCCCCAAAAGTATAAAATGTATAAAACTTTTCATGCTCGTAGCGCCCCAAACAATAGTTTTATAGTTTTCTTTGTCTTTTTCATTCAACTTGCCACAATAAGCCGATCACCTAGACATGAGAGAATGGGTTGTGTGCATTTTCACTGGGCGCCAAAATTAAAAAATTAATTGGGAGGCCTGGGTACCATTTTGATTTTTTTTCCCTTTTTTAAAAGAAAAGTTTTTTTTTTCCCAAAAAATTTGGGGCCCTACGGCAAAGTGAACGTATTTATACTTTTTTGGAAACCCTTTTTTGGGGCCCCAAATTTCCATTTTTCCAAAAATTTTTGCAAAATTTTTAAACACCAAACATTCCCCTTTTAAACAGGACACCCTCCACTCCCCTTCCAACCCCCTCCTCGCTGCTGCTTTACCCCCCAAAGCTTCACCCCCATATAAGGTGGGGGTTTACTACTAAAACTTTCATACATTTTTCCCCCTTTGCCCCCAAATAGATAATTTTTTTTGGGCCCCACATATACCTAATGCACCACTCCCCCCTTTTTTTCCCTTTAAATCAATTTTTTAAATTTAACCTAAATCCTTATAAATCAAATCCGGGGTGATACGTCAACTCCCAAAGACGTATCTGAAAACATTCCTTCTTCCATATTCTTTTCCCCCCCAATTTTTTACCAATTTTTCCCTTTTTCTAAAATTATTTGATACCCCTTTTTCCCCCTTACTCTTTTTTGTTTTTCCCTTTAAAATTTCTTTCCCCCTTTTCCACATTCCCAAAATCATCCCCTAACCTTTTCAATTTTTTTTTAGAATCTCCCCTAAACACAGTATCATCAGCAAAAAGTAAATGTCAATTCCCATTTTGAATTTTATTCCCCATAAAATTTTAATTCCCCCCCCTCCCCCCAACACCCCAGCATTTAATTTTTTTCAAAAACCCTCTATAAATAAATTAAAAAAACCTTGGGGGGACATTTTCAAATCCCCTTTTAAGACCTCTTTTACCCGGGGAAATGGTCTTCCCCCTCTTCCCCACACACCCTAACCCTTAGCCCCCACCCATCCTTTAAAAAAAACTCTTTTTCCCGCATTTATAACTTACCCCCTATTCCATATACAGGGGGCCCCCCCCCAGCCCCATGGCATCGATTAACGATAAATCTGACTTGCATAAAATTTTTAAACGCAAAAAAATTTTTCCTCGATTAGCGCTAAAAAAAATCGACCAACACCCATTCGTTTGTCTGAGGGCGGGGTTTCCAAATTCCCGGCCCCGGGGTTTTTTCAAGCCGCCAGCCACCGCGGTCGCTTCCAAAACATACCAAAACGGAACATTTTTATATTAATTTACAGCCTTTTTTGTGATTGCACCGGGAAAATTAAAATACCCCCGGGGCCCCCAAAAAAGCTTCTTTGTGCCAACCCTACATCAAAAAGGGTGAGAATTACTATGGATATTTGAAAGAGATCATTTTTCTAAGTTTTTGAAAGTGGAGTGCATGTTCCCCCAGGGCCAGGCCCGTACACAAAACCCCAATCAACCATCGCTACTATTGTGGGCCAAAAAAACGGCAAAACAAGGAAGCTTTTTTTTTGCCAAAGGTTTCAGCTATTTTTCGAAACTGAGATTGCAAGTGATAGAAGATGTTGAGGGGACTGTTTTTTGGTAAAGGGTAAAGAAAAAAAGATAGAAGGAGATAGCCCCTCTTTAAGCGATCAATGTGAAAAGGTAGGAAGTTTTCTTGGGCGATTTAATTAGAAAAATGCCAGCAACTAGTGGTTATGTGGGTTAAAAATTTTAAAGGCCCGCAAAGGTTTGGGTTTTTGAGATTTAAGAATCGTAATGGCATACATAGTGTGATAAGGCATGGTGAGGCTGCCAGTTTGGACCAAAAAGCAGCTGAAAAATATGTGCAGGAATTCAAGGAGTACATAGACAGTGAAGGACTGAAACCTGAACAAGTGTTTAATGGTGACACTGACAATGTTGTGAAACACTTTAGGAATGTCATAAAGGAACGGGAGGTACAGGCCTCTATGGGCAGATACAGTGGACCCTCGCATAACGATCACCTCCGAATGCGACCAATTATGTAAGTGTACATGTATTTATGTAAGTGCATTTGTACGTGTATGTTTGGGGGTCTGAAATGGACTAATCTACTTCACAATATTCCTTATGGGAACAAATTCGGTCAGTACTGGCACCTGAACATACTTCTGGAGTGAAAAAATATCGTTAACCGGGGGTCCACTGTATGTTGTGCGACAGAGGTCCAGTGACTCTCAAGCTGGTCCTAGTGGCATTAAAAGAAGAAGGGAAGTAACCCCGAAAAAGGACTTGCCACCTCAAGTCCTAATGGAAGGGGATTCCCCTTCTAAGCACTAAGACCATCAACACACTCCCCTCTTCCCATCCCATCAATCATCACCAGATCTTCAATAAAGGTAAGTGTCATGTAACTGTGCATGTCTTCTTCAGTTTGTGTGTATTAAAATTAATATTTCACGTGTTGATTTTTTTTTTTCAATACTTTTGGGTGTCTTGCACGGATTAATTTGATTTCCATTATTTCTTATGGGGAAAATTAACTTGACTAACGATTATTCTGACTAACGATGAGCTCTCAGGAACGGATTAATAGCGTTAGTCGAGGGTCCACTGTACTTGCAACATCTGCCACATTGCTCCTCTATCCACTCTATCATATGCCTTTTCTAAATCCATAAATGCAATAAAAACTTCCCTACCTTTATCTAAATACTGTTCACATATATGCTTCAATGTAAACACTTGATCTACACATCCCCTACCCACTCTGAAACCTCCTTGCTCATCCGCAATCCTACGTTCTGTCTTACCTCTAATTCTTTCAATTATAACCCTACCGTACACTTTTCCTGGTATACTCAATAAACTTATTCCTCTATAATTTTTACAATCTCTTTTGTCCCCTTTCCCTTTATATGAAGGGACTATACATGCTCTCCGCCAATCCCTAGGTACCTTCCCCTCTTTCATACATTTATTAAACAAAAGTACCAACCACTCCAACACTATATCCCCCCCGCTTTTAACATTTCTGTCATGATCCCATCAGTTCCAGCTGCTTTACCCCCTTTCATTCTACGTAATGCCTCACGTACCTCCCCCACACTTACATTCACTCCTAAAAGATGGTATACTTCCCTGACCAGTGCATGAAATTACCGCCTCCCTTTCTTCCTCAACATTTAAAAGTTCCTCAAAATATTCTCGCCATCTACCTAATACCTCCCTCTCCCCATCTACTAACTCCCCTACTCTGTTTTTAACTGACAAATCCATACTTTCCCTAGGCTTTCTTAACTTGTTTAACTCACTCCAAAATTTTTTCTTATTTTCATTAAAATTTCTTGACAGTGCCTCTCCCACTCTATCATCTGCTCTCCTTTTGCACTCTCTCACCACTCTCTTCACCTTTCTTTTACTCTCCATATACATACTCTGCTCTTCTTATAACACTTCTGCTTTGTAAAAACCTCTCATAAGCTAACTTTTTCTCTATAACTATAGATATGTAGATATAAATCCATATGTAGTCCTGTTAACTCTTTGGGGCCTAGTTCCTAGGCCTTTTGTGTATCCATATGCTCTTGCGCTACGGTCCACAGGATGGATATGGGGTACACAATAAACTAGCCACTTTGGTGGCAAAATCTAAATCTCTGTGAACAAGAGTCTCAATATTAACTCATGGCACACTGCTTGTAATAGGTTCCCATTCTGGTTTCACACGCTGAGGGCCTGTGTTCGATTTCCAGTGGGGTGGAAACATTTTGATGTGTTTCCTTACACCTGTTGTCCTGTTCACCTAGCAAGTAGGTACCTGGGTGTTAGTCAACTGGTGTGGGTCACATCCTGGGTGACAAGAGTGAGAACTCCAATGGAGATAAGACAGACAGTCCCTCGATGATGCACCTCCTTTTTTGGGTTATCCTGGGTGACTAACCCTCCGGCGTTAAAAATCTGAACAAAATCTTATCTGATGAATGATGGTGAAAGAGTTTCTTTTTTTCGGGGAGGTTGTCACCCTGCCTCGGTAAAAGACAGCCAGTGTGCTTAAAAAAAAAGTTAGAAAAAAAAATAAATTTTCAATAAATGTGAAATATCAAACATTGAGAGATCACACAGTATATAAATACTTTCTGATCAAAGAGTAGGTCTTAATTTTTTAGTTGTATTGATTTGTAATGATAAAAAGCTAAACTAGCTGACTGCTTATTACAGGATTTACAGTTTGATATATAATAAAAACATTTTTTTATTTTGTTCTTACTTCTTTCAGGAATGGATGTAACAACAGATAAGCCAGTTGATGAGTTTACTTTTCTATATGATGGTTTCAATAAAATGCTGGAGACACTGTATCCAGATTTTGAAGTACCAGATGAGACACGGGAGCATTGTGTAAACTTGGGCAAAGAATTCCTGCTTAAGACAATTTATGAAGCTGAGGAGATTGCCAACCAACAAAAGAAGAAAACTATAACTCATGACCATATATTAATGGGTAAGTACAGTAGTGCATATTGCTACAATGTTAGCCTTAGTATTTGTCAATTCTGACTCTCAAAGTGCATTACAAATACTGTATTTTCAAATTCAAATTTATTTATTTCTTTGCAAGTAGTACATTGAGGTTATGTATTTACAATAATGGGTTGCAGTGCAAAGAGAGCCTCTATTATGGCTAGGCATTATGGGCCAACTTAATTTAATGGCTTACTGACTACTTAACACTAAAGAAATTTATCATAGTTGTACAATAGTTCTATTAATTATAAATTAATCTAATTTATATAAACCAAAGGATATATTCATATTTTCAAAACTGCTTTTTATGAAACATGATTCAATTATATTCCTGTCGACACTGGACAATAGGTTCAAAAGTAATTATTGAAATTATATTATGGGAATATAACAGGAGGGGAGAGTGTCGAAGTTTTTAATGTTTAGAAGGGGAATCCCCCTCCATTAGGACTTGAGGTAGCAAGTCCTTTTCCGGGGTTACTTCCCTTCTTCTTTTAATGCCACTAGGACCAACTTGAGAGTCACTGGACTTCTGTCGCCTAATCACACTATGTATGCCACTACGATTCTTAAATCTTTCAAACCAACCTTTGCTGGCCTTAAATTCACTCACATCACCACTAGTTGCAGGCATTTTTCTAATTAAATTCTCGTGCAACTGCCTAGCCTTTTCACAAATGATTGCTTGAGAGATGCTATCTCCAGCTATCTTTTTTTTCATTTATCCAAAACCAGTAACAGTCTCTCAACATTTTCTAACACTTGCAATCGCTGTTTTGTAATCACAGTTCACCTTTTTGAAAAGAAACAGCTTCCTTGATTGCCGTTTCCTGCTCACAATAGTAGAGATAGTGTTTGGGGATTTACAAATACAACTTGGCCAGGTCCGACACAAGCACTCCACTTTCATACTTTGCAATTATCTCTTTCTTCATTTCAATAGTCATTAGCACCCTTGGTCTCGAAGGGTTGGCACTAGAAGCTTTCTTGGGGCCCATGGTGACTTATTTTGCAGAAACAAGCACCAGAAACAGTGATAATATGGATAATATGGAATGTACCGAATGTATCCTTAGATGTGCACACACTGGCTGGTTTGTAAACACTGGCACACACGGGGCAGTTCGGGCCACATGTGGACACGTCTCGTACGAATTGTATAGCGTACCGGGTTTTGTTACGGGAACTGGGGCAATTTTTTTTGCGATATAACGCTTCGGATACCGGATTTATCGGTTACCGGTGACTTCGTGAACCAGGGGTCCACTGTACTATCTTACCCTGCCTCCTAATTGCATTTTGAATCTTATACCTGCTGTTCATTGTTTTTTTGTTCTCTTTTTTCTTATAACTGACTGATCGATTTAGATTTAACCTGTAACATAAATACTACATCAATTTTGTATTAAAACACCAGAGCGACCTACTGAGGGGAATACATTTTCCACCACTAAAGTCCTAGCTGTCTTTCTAGAATTGCATGGACATCACAGGTCTAATAATAAATATTTTACTTATCATTATTGCCCTCCCATTTTCCACAGACTATACAGTACTGTATAGTACTGGAAATGATGCATATTTAATAAAAGTTAAATTTAAAAAGAACTGTATTGTATACTCAGTGTGAAACTTATGATATAACTTTCGTTTTGGTAATCACGTATCAATATGATGAATTTCGGGAGTTTTTCTACTCCTGTAGCCTAGCCATAGGCCAGGCTCACTTGGCGCTTGCATGATCAACCAGGCTGTTGCTGCTAGTGGTCCACTGACCCATATATCCATCACAGCCTGATTGATCTGGCACCTGGTGAAGATACTTGGCCAATTTCTTTATGAAGACTTCTTCTCTTGTCCCAGCAGTGTTTCTGATATCTTCTGGTAAGATGTTGAATAGTCTGGGGCCATGAATGTTGATAGTGTTCCCTTATTGTGCCCACTGCATTGAAGCATAAAATCAGAAATTTGTGTTATTCTAACCGATTTTCTGCCAACAAGATCTTTATTATTATTATTATTATTATTATTATTATTATTATTATTATTATTATTATTATTATTATTATTATAATAAAAACCAAGTGCTAAACCACCAGGACAAGATCTTTAAATAAACTGTTCCAGCCTGATACAGTGGACCCCCGCATAGCGACCTTAATCCGTGCAAGAGGGCTGGCTGTTATGCGAAATGTTCGGTATGTGAATGAATTTTCCCCATAAGAAATAATGGAAATAAAATTAATCCGTGCAAGACACCCAAAAGTATGAAAAAAAATTTTTTTTACCACATGAAATGTTAATTTTAGTACACACAAACTGAAAAAGGCATGCACAATTACATGACACTTACTTTTATTGAAGATCTGGTGATGATTGATGGGATGGGAGGAGGGGAGAGAGAGTGTTAGTGTTTAGAAGGGGAATCCCCTTCCATTAAGACTTGAGGTGTCGAGTCCTTTTCTGGGGTTACTTCCCTTCTTCTTTTAATGCCACTAGGACCAGCTTCAGAGTCACTGGACTTCTTTCGCACAACATATCTGTCCATAGCGGCCTGTACCTCTCGTTCCTTTATGATTTGTCTAAAGTGGTTCACAACATTGTCATTGTAACAGTCACCAGCACGGCTTGCAATAGCTGTGTGAGGGTGATTTTCATCAAAAAAGGTTTGCACTTCAAGCCATTTTGCACACATTTCCTTAATCTTTGAAGTAGGCAATTCCTTCAATTTCTCTCTCCCCTCCTTTGAACCAGTTTCCCCAGGTCTGGCCTCTTGCTCTTGAAGTTGATCTATCAGCTCATCAGGGGTTTTAGTTCTTCATTGTCCTCCTCCACCAACTCTTCCACATCCTCCCCACTAACCTCCAACCCCAAGGACTTCCCCAATGCCACAATTGATTCCTCAATTGGTATACTCCTCTCAGGGTTAGCCTCAAACCCTTCAAAATCCCTTTTGTCTACACATTCTGGCCACAGTTTCTTCCAAGCAGAGTTCAAGGTCTTCTTAGTCACTCCCTCCCAAGCCTTACCTATAAGGTTTATACAATTGAGGATATTAAAGTGATCTCTCCAAAACTCTCTTAGAGTCAGTTGAGTTTCTGAGGTCACTACAAAGCACCTTTCAAACAGAGCTTTTGTGTACAGTTTTTTGAAGTTTGCAATAACCTGCTGGTCCATGGGCTGCAGGAGAGGAGTGGTATTAGGAGGCAAAAACTTCACCTTAATGAAGCTCATGTCCCCATAAAGTCGCTCTGCCACGTCTGTGGGATGACCAGGGCATTGTCTAACACCAGGAGGCACTTAAGTTCTAATTTCTTTTCAGTTAGGTAATCTTTGACATTGGGGCAAATGCATGGTGTAACCAGTTATAGAAAAAGTCCCTAGTGACCCATGCCTTACTGTTTGATCTCCACAGCACACACAAATTATCCTTGAGGACATTCTTTTGCCTGAACGCTCTGGGAGTTTCAGAGTGATACACTAATAAAGGCTTAACTTTGCAATCACCACTAGCATTGGCACACATCAACAAAGTAAGCCTGTCTTTCATAGGCTTATGTCCTGGGAGTGCCTTTTCCTCCTGAGTAATGTAGGTCCTGCTTGGCATTTTCTTCCAGAACAGGCCTGTTTCATCACAATTAAACACTTGTTCAGGTTTCAGTCCTTCAGTTTCTATGTACTCCTTGAATTCCTGCACATATTTTTCAGCCGCTTTGTGGTCCGAACTGGCAGCCTCACCATGCCGTATCACACTATGTATGCCACTACGCTTCTTAAATCTCTCAAACCAACCTTTGCTGGCCTTAAATTCACTCACATCATCACTAGTTGCAGGCCTTTTTTAATTAAATCCTCATGCAACTTCCTAGCCTTTTCGCTTATGATCGCTTGAGAGACGCTATCTCCTGCTAGCTGTTTTTCATTTATCCACACCAATAAGAGTCTCTCAACATCTTCCATCACTTGCGATCATTGTTTCGAAAACACAGTTAAACCTTTGGCAAGAACAGCTTCCTTGATTGCCTTTCTGTTGCCCACAATAGTAGAGATGGTTGATTTGGGTTTCTTGTACAACCTGACCAGGTCGGTGATACGCACTCCACTTTCATACTTATCAGTGATCTCTTTCTTCATTTCTATTGGAATTCTAACCCTTATTGCTGTAGGGTTGGAACTAGAAGCTTTCTTGGGGCCCATGGTCACTTATTTTCCAGAAACAGCACCGAAAACACTGTAATAATACGAAATATTCCGATTGTATGCTTGAATGTTACCGCGGAGGCTGGCTGGTAAACAATGCCACCGGCGGAACATATGAGGCTGGCTCAGGCCGCACATTGGACGCGTCTCGGACGAAGGGTGCTGAGCGGGTTTTTGGGCGGTATGCGGGGCAAAATTTTAGCGATCAAAGCGTCCGGTATGCGGATTGTCCGTTATGCAAGGTGTCCGGTGTGCGGGGGTCCACTGTACTTCATTGTTAGACCATTTGTAGGACAATTTTTTTATTATCATTTCTTTGTCAGTCAGTATTAAATTATATTGGGATCTTATGAAAAAACATTTAAGACGGAATGTTTATATTTTGATCCCAGATATTTACACAGTACAGCACTGTATAGTACATGTATGCATGTACCTTTATTGCATAATGTTCCAGGGGAGTCAAACTGTGGCCACTTGAAAATAATGTAGAGTTTACCTGGAGAGAGTTCCGGGGTCAACGCCCCCGCGTCCCGGTCTGTGACCAGGCCTCCTGGTGGATCAGAGCCTGATCAACCAGGCTGTTGCTGCTGGCTGCACACAAACCAACGTACGAGCCACAGCCCGGCTGGTCAGGAACCGACTTTAGGTGCTTGTCCAGTGCCAGCTTGAAGACTGCCAGGGGTCTGTTGGTAATCCCCGTTATGTATGCTGGGAGGCAGTTGAACAGTCTCGGGCCCCTGACACTTATTGTATGGTCTCTTAACGTGCTAGTGACACCCCTGCTTTTCATTGGGGGGATGCTGCATCGTCTGCCAAGTCTTTTGCTTTCGTAGTGAGTGATTTTCGTGTGCAAGTTCGGTACTAGTCCCTCTAGGATTTTCCAGGTGTATATAATCATGTATCTCTCCCTCCTGCGTTCCAGGGAATACAGGTTCAGGAAACTCAAGCGCTCCCAGTAATTGAGGTGTTTTATCTCCGTTATGCACGCCGTGAAGGTTCTCTGTACATTTTCTAGGTCAGCAATTTCACCTGCCTTGAAAGGTGCTGTTAGTGTGCAGCAATATTCCAGCCTAGATAGAACAAGTGACCTGAAGAGTGTCATCATGGGCTTGGCCTCCCTAGTTTTGAAGGTTCTCATTATCCATCCTGTCATTTTTCTAGCAGATGCGATTGATACAATGTTATGGTCCTTGAAGGTGAGATCCTCCGACATGATCACTCCCAGGTCTTTGACGTTGGTGTTTCGCTCTATTTTGTGGCCAGAATTTGTTTTGTACTCTGATGAAGATTTAATTTCCTCGTGTTTACCATATCTGAGTAATTGAAATTTCTCATCGTTGAACTTCATATTGTTTTCTGCAGCCCATAAGTGACTATAAGTTCTGAATTATGGGTCAGATGACTCTAATACAGTATACGACCAGCTCTCTACTCGAACAATACTCAACACTCAATCAAACAAATATGACCTGCCAGAACTTCGCTGTAAACTGTTTCGTGTTTCTTCGCATTTTTTTTTTTTTTTTTTTTTTTTTTTGTATTTGTATAAATAAGTCACCATCGAGCCTATGAAGATTAGTGATAACAGCCAACCAAACAGAAAATTGGTTGGGAAGAACTTGTTCGATACTCAAGTGGAGTGGCACTCGAACAGCCTTCTGTAATGAATTGAGGTCACATACCGAGGTTCCACTGTATATAAGAAATATTTTGTCTTGCCCAAAAAAATCTCTACTAGGTAACTAAAAGAAGGCTTAGGGTGTTGATCACTGATCTACATACTTGTTCTGGATTGATCCATGTTCAACAATTAATATAACGAATTTGAAATTTAGAGATGGTAGCAGTTACTTGTAAGGGTATATACTCTACATGTATGATGGTTTGACATACAATTGTGATAATTTCGTTACAAAAGTATGATGTAACTTATTGTTTTTTAAAGTATTGTACAAATTTTAACATGTATGATTGTACTGTACTATACAGTATGGTATATGAAAATTAAATAATAAATTCAAGTCATAAATCACTGATGCTTACTAATTATATTAAAAATTCAGCTATGGAAAAATTAGGTATGAGTAAGTGCCATGCTCATGTTAAGTCATACTTGAAGGAGACCAAAGCTATGGCAACTGAGGAAAAACGGAACAATAAGCTTCTAGAAAATCTTGAAATCCCTGAAGAAGAACGCCTCAAGCAGCAGCAAGCATTCTTTGCAAAGGTGTGTACAAAATAATATTTGTCATTTCATGTTAACATTATGCATTCTTTTTTCTTGTATTGCTGTAAAGTCTATACATCTGAATTTTTTCACCATATCAAGTAATTTTTCTTAACCCTTTGTCTGCTTCGGTCGTATATATACATCTTACGAGCCACCGTGTTTGACATATATATACTCAAATTCTAGCAGCTTCAAATCAAGCAGGAGAAAGCTGGTAGGCCCACATGTGAGAGAATGGGTCTGTGTGGTCAGTGTGCACCATATAAAAAAAATCCTGCAGCACTCAGTACATAATGAGAAAAAAAAAAGCTCCAACCGTTTTTTTTAATTAAAATGCCGATTTTGTTGTCTATTTTCATATAGTATTTATGGTTGAATTCACGTTTTCTTGGTCTCACTTGATAGAATGGAAAATATATTATAGAAATAGATGTGATTTTGATTGGTTTTACTATGAAAAGAACTTTGAAATGGATCTCAAAGTAGGGGAAATGTTTGATTTTTGCCGATGTTCAAAAGTAAACAAATGATGTCATTTTCCAGTAAATGTCCAAGTAGCCATTCTAATATGCAGTCATGAATGGGCTGACCCCCGGAACTCTCTCCAGGTAAAAATTATTTGTACAATTATTACAATATTGCAGTAGTCTGCATAACAGTAAATCTTCTGTTTTTTGTTTGAATAAAAATTCAAAATAGAAAGCGAGAGTAATATCAGAGGGGCCTGGAGACGTGACTGATAAATAAAGAAAATGTTATTTTAGAGCCAGGAATGTCTGCATTGTTCATTCTGGACCTTATTTTGAAATTTTCATATTTTTTAATTTTCGTGAAATTGGCCAAATTGCAAATTTCTGACCACGTTATTGGGTAGTTGCAATCGGTAAATGGACAGTTTCTTGTAATCGTTCGATAAAAAAAATGGAGTTCTAATGAAATAGCTATGAGTTTGGTCAACTGGAACAGTGGAATTAGCCGAAAATAGGGCTCAAAGTGGGCGAAATCGCCAATTTGTAAATATCGCCGCGGTCACTAACTTCGCGAGAGAGTAATTTCATCAGTTTTTCATCAAATTTCGTTCTTTTGGTGTCATTACAATTGGGAAGATTCTCTATCATTTCATAAGAATTTTTTTTTTTTTTTTGGGGCGGAAATTTTGCGACACCAGGAGACACCTCAGGATTGGGGGTTGCGACAGTCAAGGGGTTAAAAGATGGATGAACCAAAGAAATTTTTTTTTTTTTTAACATACTGACTGTCTCCCACCAAGGCAGGGTAACCCAAAAAAGAAAGAAATGCTTTCACCATCATTCACACATAATCACTGTCTTTGCAGAGGTGCACAGATACGATAGTTCAGATGTCAATCCAAAACGAAAATATGCCAAGCCCCTCCTTTAAAGTGCAGGCATTGTACTTCCCACCTCCAGGACTCAAGTCCAGCTAACAAGTTTCCCTGAATCCCCTCACAAAATATTACCTTGCTCACACTCCAACATCTCGTCAGGTCCCAAAAACCATTAGTCTCCACTCACTCCTATCTAACACATTCATAAATGCCTGCTGTATGTCCAAGCCTCTTGCTCACAAAACTTCTTTTACCCCCTCCCTCCATCCTTTCTCAGGATGACCCCTACCCCTCCTCTCCTACACTACAGATTTATATACCCTCCAGGTCATCCTGTTTTGCTCCATCCTCTCTAAATGACCAAAACACCTCAACAACCCCTCCTCAGCCCTCTGAATAATACTTTTAGTAGCCCCACACTTACTAATTTTCACACTACAAATTTCCTGCCTAATATTTATTTATTTATTTATTTAATAATTTGAACATACAGAGGTACAAAAAAATACAGGTAAGAGCAGTATGTCAAAGCTACTTGTATGCATAGCATTACGGGCAGGCTTAAAATTAACTTAAGATTAACTAAGCAATGATGTAATCAGTGATAAAACATTATTGTAAACAGATAACAATAAAGCACAAATGAGTATTACAAAGACAGGTCATATGGTTGCATGCATTGCTGTACATTCAGTAGAATGGAGTATTCTGTTAGGTAGTGTATTTAAAAAATAACAAAGTTAGATTGGGTCTTAGGTTTAACATTTATGTGATATAATTATGAGAAACATTTAAGATATACAGTTTATAAGGTTCAGTTATTCAGTATTTATTTGGTTTTGGGTGAGTAAGTGATCTTTGAGAAGAGACTTAAATTTATAAACAGGTAGTGTTTCTTTTATATTTACAGGAAATGAATTCCAGATTTTAGGGCCTTTTATGCGCATTGAGTTTTTGCATAGTGTGAAATGGACACAAGGAACATCAAAGAGTGATCTGTGCCTTGTGTTATGGTCATGTGTTCTGTTGAGGTTGGCAAGGAGATGTTTGAGGGGAGGGTTAATATCAGAGTTAAAGTGTTCTATGTATGTAATAGGTGCAGTAATAAATACGGATGTTTTGTGTGGTGAGTAGGTTTAGTGTTTTGAATATTGGAGGAGTGTGCTGCCTGTAGTGGGAATTTGTTATCATTCTGACTGCAGCCTTTTGTTGGGTAATTAGTGGTCTGAGATGGTTAATTGTTGTTGAGCCCCATGCACAAATTCCATAGGTGAGATGGGGGTAAATAAGAGAGTGATATAGGGCCAGGAGGGCTGACTGTGGAACATAGTACCGTATCTTCGATAGTATGCCTATGGTCTTGGAAATTTTCTTAGAAATTTGTTGTATATGTGTATGAAATTTGAGTCTGTTATCAAGGTGGATTCCTAAGAATTTTCCCTCTGTTAGCTTTGTGATAGGTGATCTGTTTATCATTATGTTAAGAGGGACATCTGTAGCTCTTTTACCAAATTGAATGAAGTAGGTTTTGTCAATGTTTAGTGTAAGTTTGTTAGTCCTCATCCAGGTAGATATTTTCTGTAATTCGGTATTTACAGTATTGGCTAGCATGACTGGGCTCGGGTGAGAGAAGACGTATGTAGTGTCATCTGCAAATAGTGTGGGTTTGAGTAATTGCGAAGCATTTGGTAGGTCATTTATGTATAGGAGAAAGAGAAGAGGGCCAAGGACACTTCCCTGTGGGACACCAACTGTAATTGGTTGTGTGGAAGAGTTTGCCCCATTTGTGTACATATATTGGCTTCTGTTGCTGAGGTATGACTTGAGGTAGTTGAGGGAATGCCCTCTTATACCATAGTGTGACCATTTTATGTGGAGCAAGTCATGGTCAACTGTATCAACATCACTGCCTCCAGCCTCCTCTCCACTGCAGCATTCACAACCCATGCTTCACACCCATATAAGAGTGTTGGTACCACTATGCTCTCATACATTTCCTTCTTTGCCTCCATGGATATCATATTTTTTTGTCTCCACAGACACCTCAATGCGCCATTCACCTTTTTTCCTTCATCAATTCTATAGTTAACCTCATCCTTCATAAATCTATCTGCTGACAAATCTACTCCCAAATATCTGAACATATTCACTTCTTCCGTACTCCCTCCAATGTGATATCCAATTTTTCTTTGCCTAACTCATTTGATACCCTCATCACCTTACTCTTATCTATATTCACTTTCAACTTTTTTTTACACACCCTCCCAAACTTTCCCCCAATCCTTTGCAATTTATCTTTAGAATCTCCCAAAAGCACAGTATCATCAGCAAAAAGTAACTGTGACAACTCCCATTTTGAATTTGATTCCCCATAATTTAATCCCATCCTCTCCCCAACACCCTAGCATTTCCTTTTTTTATAACCCCATCTATAAATATGTTAAACAACCATGGTGACATTACACACCCCTGTCTAAGGCCTACTTTTAGTGGAAAGTAATCTCCCTCTCTCCTACACATCCTAACCTGAGCCTCACTATCCTCATAAAAACTATTTACAGCATTTAGTAACTTACATCTGCCACATTGCTTCCCTATCCACCCTTATATTCCTTTTCTAAATCCATGAACTATTTACGTGTTTTTAATAACATTAATCTTTCTCTGAATGAAATACACCAGTACTTTAAGTTTGAAGCTACTAAGAAGCTGCATTCACCGGTTATTGTACAGAAAAAAAAATACCCCATAATTTTTAAAATAAAACTAGTTAATACAAATTTCCCAATTTCTTCAGAAAAATTGACAAATTCGTACCTACCCACCCCCAAGAGCAATCCGTCTTTCTCTAATTAAGATTAGTAAGAGGGATGTTATATGTGTAACCAAGCAATTAAAGATTGGCAGATAAAAAAATATATTCCCAGATAAATTAATTTAGGGTGCAATGCATTAAAATGGCTCAAAATGTTTAAAGATAGAATCTAAAAATCAGTATTTTACTTTTTTTTTTTTTTTTTTTTTTTTAATGTTAAAATAATTCTGCATACATTGGAGGCAGGTTCATCATGATGCATTGTCTTCTGTTACAGGTTCAGGCAGCATTAACTGAACAACAGCAGGAGGAGGAGGAGGAGCAATAAACATGATGATAAGACTACTTCATGAGCCAAATAATTCTTCAGATACCAAGAGTATTCACCTCTCTACATTTGCTAATTCTTTGGGTTATAAGATTAAGTTTGTCCATTACTTTAGCAGCAGTGATTATAAAAGTTTGATTATTATTTGATATTTGTGTGGTTTGCCTCCATTTTGTTTTTGGTTAAAATACACTGAGAAATGTTGACTTATTTTTCTAATTCTTTTCTTCCTCTTAGCCTTCACACATTTACAATCCTTACCCTACTGTGACCTGCTGTTACTCAAGTTAGCTATGGTACAACATGTGCTACACTACCCGAACCTCCTCTCAAGAAGAGACCCAACTTAGGATTCTGAGGAGAGTCCAGGCATCCAGTCTTGTACACTTAAGATAATTGCCAGCAATGTAATTGAAATAGGATACAGAATATTATTGTTTCGAAGCACATCTTTGATTACAATATAGATCTGTGACAAAATGGAAAGCACTTTAGCCCTGATCCATATAGGTTCAGTGTTTTACTGTGACTGCATAGTATTATGGAATGCATCCTAGTTATTTTGTTGAGGATTAGGTACTGTAATTGTTTATCCTTACTGCAGTTTTTAAAGTCCCATTTAAGAGTACGTCTATTGGCATCACTATACTCGGGTACATTCCCCTTTTTTACCTATGTAGATTAACTTTCCTCTCCGAAGATGCCTCAACACACAAACTACTTACCCCCTCATCTATTTATATAGTTAACCTAGTCTTTCATGAACCTGTCTACTGATATCTTTATTTCCAAATATCTTAACGCATTCCATTTTCTTCACAAGCACAAAATTTTAGTTATCACAATAATTAGTGATAATATGGTTTAATATTTCAGCATGTTCAAACATTAATACAACATTGCTGATTTTCTTGATTTTTATCTAAGTGATAACTGTATTGTACTGCTGTTAGTTTTAATATCTTCTTACATCGAGGTTTCTAATGATATAAGGAAATCTGTTATTCTTTACAAAATATTCCATAGTTTTAATTGCAGGTTTGACTGGTAACTGAAAATGTTTTGATTGTAGTAAATGATAATAATTCTCAGTTGGACAACGCATGTTCATTGCTACTAGATGATAATTATTTGTTCTACATAATGAGGACATGAAAGGAAAATATAGTATGTAACAGGTTATAAATGAGAAGTTGACAACTATCCATTGAATTATTATGTATATTTAGGAACTAATACAGTTACTATATAGGAATATTGCAGTTATTCTACATTTAGAGTATTTTACTTAGTGTAACTATAAACATTGTGATGCCTGTTGTATAAAAAAGTTGAAGTCTCTGCTTTTATTTAAATTGTATTTTTAATAAAAATTTTGTATTAATATAAATAACTGACTGTAGTATGTAAAATGGAAATTATTATTTATCAGAGAAAATAAATTTGAGATTAAAATTACACTTGTGTTTTCTATAACACGAATCTTGGCATGTAGTTATTGCCATCAGTTGTTTGTAAAGGGTGTTTCAAAATACTATACAGTATTTCTTTATTTTGCTGCTTGGTAATAATTATTATTATTATTATAATAAAAAAGAACCACTAAGCCACAAGGGCTATACAGCGCTGCAGGGTAGGGAAGGAAGCGAGGGTATTGGATGGCAGAAGGGAGGAGGGATGATCAGTAGGTTACAGAAAACAGCGGGGCAGGGGATAGTACGGGGGTAGAGGGTAGCAAGAGATTGAAGTAGAAAGGGCTGAAGGCATCATCAGAATTTGTGAAGTAAGTCAGTTGTCAAAAAGTCAATGAGAGAGTCCGGATGAAAGGTGGGTCCATCAGCGAGAAGGGAAGGTAAAGAGAGAGCAGCGGAGCGAAGGCGACGACGGAGGTAAATTCTGCGTGCTCGTTGATAAAGTGGGCAGTCCAACAGAATGTGGCTGACTGATAATGGAGCTTAGCAATTTTCACAGAGAGGAGCAGGGCGCCTCTCCATGAGATATCCATGAGCAAGACGAGTATGGCCAATGCGAAGACGGGAGAGAGTAGTCTCCCAACCTCGACACTGGTGATAAGAAGACGGCCAAAGTAACCTATACTTGGTTTAATAGATTGAAGTTTGTTGCCGAGCATAGTAGACCAACGGTGTTGCTAACGGGTGTGAAGGTGGGAAGATATTGCAGCAAAATAGTCCGAAAATGGAATACCTCTATATGAAACTGGTTAGGTCATGTACTGCTGACCGTGCGCAGCAGTGTCTGCCTGTTCATTGCCCTGTACGTTAAACATGACCAGGGACCCAACAAAAAAGCAATTCTTTATGCTTGGTAAAGATGCGGGTAGCCAAAGTTGGATACAGAGGACTAAGGGGTGAGGTGTTATCAAATTTCTGTTTAGCCTGTAAAGCACTAAGGGAGTCTGAGAAACCACAAATGATGACACAGGCATAGATGCAATACGGATAAGTGCTGCAAGGATGGCATACAATTCAACATTTAAAAATACTAGCGAAGATAGTAAATGCCCCGTACGACGCTGTCCGGAAAACACTGCTGCGAATCTTACGTCATCAGAAGACTTGAGCCATCTGTGTACACAGCAATGGCATGAGAATGAGAGTGAAAGTGGTCAAGAAAAAGGGGAGGGAAGCGCCCGTAGACAGTTGGGCTTTCGAGAAAAGGGAGAGAGAAAAAAACAGACTCGAAAAGCTGGAACTTCCCAGGGGGGTGGGGAAAAAAGTGAGATGCTACATGAACATAGAAAGGTGGTAATTGAAGAAAAGACAAGAGCGAATGAAGGCGAAGAGAGAAGGGACGGAGTAAACAGGGCGGCGAACAAATAAAGAATGTCTACTAATATCAGTGACCATTCTATAAATGGAAGGATTGTGGAGATCATGAGGCGTACATAATAGCGAAGGAAATGGGCATCACGGAGATCGGATAAGGATGGAACGTTCACTTCTGCATAGAGGCTCTCGACAGGGGAGAGCGAAAAGCACCAAGGCATTAAACGTAATCCTTGGTGATGAATGGGGTTAAGGCTAGAGAGAGTAGCAGGAAAATGCCGCTGAATAGATTGGTCACCATAATCAAGTTTTGATAAGATAAAGGTGGAATGTAGGCGAAGGAGGGTTCGACGATCAGCTCCCCATGAAAGATGAGCAAGGGTTTTATGAAGGTTCAGCCAGCTGTGACAAGTTGCCTTCAGAGAGGTAATGTGGGGTTTTTCCAGGATAAACCTACGATCAAAGAGGAGGCCCAGAAACTTGACTGTATCACGTTCAGGGATACGGGAGCCATAGAGGTACAAAGGATGATCGGAGATGACAGAGCGTCTAGTGAAAGTAATTTGATGGGTTTTAGTGCTGGAAAATTTAAAACCCACGTGTGGGGGGCCCCAAATTGGAAACACGGTCGCCTGCATGCTGGAGAGAAACTAATGAGGTGACAGTCAGCGCCTGCACAGGCAATAGCGAAGTCATCAACATAGAGTGATGACCAAATATTAATGGAAGACTAGAGGCCAAATCATTAATAGCAAGGAGAAAAAGGGTGTTGTGCTCAGAACACATCCCTGGGGGACACCTTCAGCTTGGATAAAGTCCGGGGAGAGCACATTATTAACCTGAACACGGAAATGCCTGTCAGTTAAAAAGTTCTTAAGGAAGGATGGTAGATTGCCTCGAAGGCCTAAGGAGTGGGCTTGGGCTAAAATATTATACCTCCAAGTTGTGTCATATGCCTTCTCAAGGTCAAAAAATATGGCAATAACTGAGTGGTTATTTGCAAAGGCATTATGAACATACGTATCCAAGCGTAGTAAGGGGTCTATGGTAGAACATCCCTTATGAAAGCCATATTGACGAGTGGAGAGACTGTTGTGTGTCTCTAAATACCACACTAAATGTCTATTTACTAGGCATTCCATCACTTTGCAAACTGCACTGGTAAGAGCAATGGGACAATAGTGGTTTGCGGAAAGGGAGAACAATGGAGGATTTCCACAGCTGTGGAAGAACTCCTTGTGACCAAATAAGATTGTAAAGGCGTAATTTGGACTGCAAGGGCTGATGATGTAAATGTTGTAGCATACGAATATGAATGTTGTCGGGCCCAGCTGCCGATGATCGGCAAGCTGAGAGTGTTGCCTCCAGTTCTTGAAGTGTAAAAGGCACATTATACTGTTCTTCTCTGAGAGAAGAAAAGTCCAAGGGTGCTAACTCTCTGGCAGACTTTGAGGAAAGAAATGAGGGGCATAGATGGAGTCCCTGAGAAATACGGACCAGATGATTGCCAATTTTTATTGGCAACATCTAGTGGGTTTGCTATATCAACACCGGCAACCCGCAGAAAAGGAGCCGGGTCAGGAGAATATTTACCACTCAGTTTTCATACTTTTTTTCCCGACTGCACTCATAGAGGAGCAGAGGTGATGGTGGAGACATAATCTCGCCAGCAAGTGCGTTTAGGTCAGGATGACACGGCGAGCGATCGCACGCTTCTGCTTAAAATCAAGAAGTGTCTCTGTGGTTCTATTGTACCGGTACCTGCCCCCTGCAGCGCGTTTCAAACGTACTGCACGAGCACAAGCAGGAGACCACCCAAAGGGACGCAAATTTTTGAGAATGCCTGCCCGAAGTTTGGGGTATAGAATGAGAAGCTGCAGTTAAAACGGAGGACGAGAAGAGGTGTAAAAGCTCATCCATGGAGGATGAAGAAGGAACCTCTCTAAAAACAGTTAGGTGTGAGTAAAGGTTCCAATTTGCCTGAATCAAATTGCCAGCGTGGGATGCGAAAAAGGTGGGGAATATGAAGGGGAAGTAAGAATGATTGGGAAATGATCGCTTTTCATGTAAGTCCGGGGGAACAGACCAAGTGAAGTCTAATGCGGAGGGAAGAGCAGACTGAGAGATCAATGCAAGAGAGTGCGTGAGTCCGAGGATCAAAATGGGGGGTGAGTACCTGTATTTAAAACATGGAGGGGGTGGGTGGCAAGAAAAGCCTCTAACTGAATGCCACGGGAATCACAGTGAGCCCCCCCAGAGGAAATGGTGGGCATTAAATCACCAAGTAACAGAAATTTGGGGGCAGTAAAGACGAACAAGAAAGGCAATATCTGGAATAGATAATGCCCGAGAAGGAGAGAGTATAAAGAAAAAGAGCGTATACCACCTTTGCAAGGGGATACGGGCTGCTGTGTAATGCAAACGAAAATACGAAACAAATAGCTGATGGTATGGAATATCAGTGCGTAGAAGAAGGGCACTTTCATTAAAGGTTCCCATCAGGAAAAGGATCTGAAAAATACAAAAAATATTATAGCCTGGGGATGGAGAGTAACAAACAGAGTTGTAATTTTGGTTCCTGTAAGCAAACACCAACAGGGGAAAACTGGGAGAGTAACATCTGAAGCTCACCCCGATTACCCCTGAGGCCGCGTATATTCCACTGTAAATAGGCCATGATTGGCAATGATAAAGATACCTGAAATCCGCAGGTAAGGGTTCCTACGGACTAGAGGGGTTTAGAAATGTCCACATGCGGGGGCAGTGGAAAACGTTCAAGCAGTGAAGGAACGGTGCGCTGTGAAGAAAGGAGTTGCGCAGATGGAGCAGGGAGAGGGAAGGAGCTGAGGGTGGATCGTGCCCTTGAGGGGTTTTGGTCTCTGCAATATATTCAGAGATTGTTTCAAGTGTTTGGGAAATTAGAGACGTGTTTTGGAAAAAAATTTTGGGAAAAATGGAGGGGGAGGAGAGAAAAGTTTGGAACGTATTGGACTCTACCAAGGTAGGGGGGGGGCAAAAAGGGTGGGGGGAAAAGGGAGAAGCGGGGAAAGGGGGACAGAATAGGGAAAAACCCGGGGAGGGGGCAGAAAGGAAAAATTTGGGAGGGAACAGGGGGGGGAAGGTACAGACAGGAGGAGGGTGAACCTCAACTTGTAACAGACCCAGTGGGGGGGGGAAAAACCAGGTACGGAAAAGGGGAAGGAAAAATGAGGAGGTGGAAGATGGGTGGAGGTGTTAAGGGACCTTTTTTTGATTTGAGAAGTAGGGGGGGCGATTGGGGGAGGTCAAAAATTCTCTTGTGAGAGAGAAACGAAGAAGAAAGTCAGACTGAGGCGTTAAAGTAGGGACGTCGACCCCGAGGAAGCAAAGAATTTGTTCAGGAGTGACTATGGGGAGGTAACCACAGGGTGGGGCAGAAGATGGGATACCAGAAGTGGGGGGATTTTTGAAAACAGGGAATAAGAAACACGAGGTAGTCTCCTTAAAGGCGGAGATGAGAAACTGCCATGGAAAAGGGGAGACCTTCCCCTCTTTGAGGTGGGGGTTTTCCCGCCGTTTAATAACTTACAACGGCGGAAAAAGGGTGAGCCTCATAAAATTAAGGAAGAGGGGGGGCGTTGCAAATTTTTTTTAAAATGGTCATGGGGCCCACAGACTGGGCATTGGCCCGAT